CGGTCTTGATTCTCGGTTTTCGACCTCAGCGGTCTCGACTCTCAATTTTCGACCTCAACGGTCTCTCGATTCTCGGTTTTCGACCTCAGCGGTCTCGATTCTCGATTTTCAACCTCAGCGGTCTCGATTCTCGATTTTCGACCTCAGCGGTCTTGATTTTCGATTTTCGACCCCGACATCAGATCATTCGGTTTCCGACCTCCGTGGTCTTTCGGTTTTTGATCTTGAGATCTCAAAGCACATTTGGAGGATTTTTCAGTGGTTATTCAATGGTCATTCGACCTTAGATGCTCGATCTTAGTGGCAAGTTGAAGAAAACAACTCGAAGAGGCATTTCACTCTTGGATCGAGTTATGCTTACTCGACCAGAGTGGGGGGACTAGATGATATAGAATATTATACTGGACCCGGTTTAAGGGATAAAGCGGATACATATTGGAAGATAAACCCACTAAGACATCTAAGCCCGACGATAGGGATCATGCCCAACTTGAGCCTAAAAGGTACACTCCCCCTATAAAAGGGTGCCAAGGTACCTCATTCTCTCACTCTCTATTCATTCCATACTACACTCTTTATCTCTCTTGATCTGAGCACTGAATTAGGCATTGGAGGCCCGACGCCGGGCCACCCCCGGCGTTGGGTTCTGCAGGTACGGAGGCCGGTTCGAGTTGAAGGAGCCCGGGTGAATCTTATTCACTTCATCACTATTCACTAGTATGTTTGCCTTTCGGACTTTGGTGATATTGAACATTTGATTCTCTAATTTGTCTATGTATTTGTGAGTGTTAATTTTGAGGTTTGAACGCGTAGAGTGTTAAAATTTGAACATTTATATTTTCAAAAACAAGTGGTGGTTTTTTTAGCATTTTGATACATATTCTTGATGATTACCATAAAACTTATTAAAATAATTAATTTTGGAAGTTTTGAGTGGAGTCTTACGATTTTACGATTCCGATTCTACAATTCCAATCGATTTTGAAAACCTTGGTCACGACACGATCTTTCGATTCGTTAAAGTAACCTCAGTTCAGATTCCAGTTTTGTGTAGGCTGTAGCTGCCTTTCTCACTGTTCATCAATGGTCAATCAATTCTGAGAATATTTGAGCTTCGAAATCATCCTCCAATCACCGTTTCTGAGTTGTTGTGGCAGAAACCGAAGAAGAGAAATCACAAGCCCTACTTATCTCGTGTACTGCGAATTGAAAGCAAAAAAATGTCGGTTCAGGAGTATCTGGACAAACATATGCTCTCTCGGAAAATAGAAGACGCCGTTAATGCTGCTGTTAGGGCAAAAACACAGGATCCCGTGCTCTTCATCTCGAATCACATGAAGAAGTCCGTTCCATCCGTCATCACAAACGTCAAAGCCAGGCAAATTCTGGATAGCAGAGGGATTCCCACTGTTGAAGTCGATTTGTACACCAATAAGGGCATTTTTAGAGCTTCAGTACCCAGCGGATCATCATCTGGAATGTAAGCACTTTGTATATTTTTTTTTTCTAAAAAAAAATATTTGCATTGTCCTCTTGTTTATTCTGGGGTTTGCTTGTTAGAATTGAGTTTTTTGTTTTGTGGGTTGTGTATTTATGTGTGGAACCAGTTGCCAAAGGGTTATTAGACCGTGTAGTGATGATTACTCAAGTTTCATTCTGATAAGCTAATAGATTAAGATCGACAATTCTAGTGAATCATGGGCAGATATGGACGGATCTGGTGAGAAGTTATCAAATAATTGAAATAGATGTAGCTACCTGAGGCCAACTGTTTTAGAATCAAAACGAGCTCCAATAGATGATTACTTTATACATTAAAGATTCAACAGCAATTTTAGCTCAACTTGTCTATAACATGAGTAGTTAATATTGTGATAAGTGGAGTAGGCATATTGTTCCTTTGGTGCATATAAGCATTTGAAATTGTATGCGCTCCCTGCAGCCATTATTTTTACTAAAATTATTGAATTTGAACAAAGAGGTTTTAACGATCATTCAGATGATGCTGCAGAATAATGAATATGTGAGCAGTTTTATCAAATGGTGGCGGAAGTATCGCGTGCCAATTTCTGCCAAACTTCCTTGCTAAATTTGTCAAGGATGGCAGTTGTGGCAGGCCTGCGGCGCCACAGGCCGCCATGGAGGCCGTGGCCTCTATGGTGGGATTTTGGCCTGCCGCCATCTTCTGCCATCCGCCACTCATAACATTGTACCTGAGTCATTGTGAACAATGAAATCTCTTCGGAAGTATTATGTTGCTCTTTTGCCGTTTCCTACCTCATTTGCTCATGCTCATGAATTGTTGTTCTTCCAGTTTTTGTTCCTCAAACTGCAAGTAGTAACTGGTTCTTGAATCGATGATTGCTTTTCTAGTTTAGTTATAATTCGACTGTTGTTTTTGTAATCTTGTTCAGAAGTATCAAAAGCAAGATAATTTTTTTGTGTCAGACCTCTTCATGGTGGGGTATGCAGAGGTGCATGGTTTCACATTGTGAATTGATTCCTGTAGTATCCTTTGCATCTTATACTGAAATTGTTTGGAATTGCAGTTGTGGATTTGTATTCGAGGACTCCATAAAGTGACCTAGATCTGACATTCTTTAATTCATGAACATACTTGGACTCGTTGGATATTGGTTCGTCAGATCTTCATGGTTTAGATAGTCTTGTTTATCTCCGGTTTTGTTATATGGAGTGAGGATGCATAAATCATCACATAGCCATGTAGGAATTAATTATGCACTTTTTGGTATGCAGGTACGAGGCCATTGAATTGAGAGATGGAGACAAGGGAACATATCTTGGTAATGGTGTGAGTAGAGCTGTTAAGAATGTTAATGAAAAAATTTCTGAAGCTTTAATTGGTATGGATCCAACTCTTCAAGTTCAAATTGATCAAGCCATGATAGACTTGGACAAGACAGAGAAGAAGGTAACTTAAAAAAGTTTATCTGATTTCTTTATTTTCTTCTGTGTGTCTGCATGCTACTAGAAGGCTGTGTGGTTGCATTTCAAAATTGTCTTTCTGTTTTAATTATTTGGAAGGTCTGAAACTATGTCCTACCCTTTATCAGAAACACCATTCGTTTCCGTTTCTGGGGCTTGTAATGGAAGTTAAAACATTAAATCACACACTATAATTAGAGCCCAGAGGTGCTATTTCGTTTACCTATGATCACTTGTTTGTCTCATCAATCAAATTATGTTTTTTCCTCCAAGCACTTAACATAGTTGTGGCATGCCCACATCAAACGTAAATTCCTAACAACGTAATTCGGTTCATTAGACATTAATGTGAAAGAGAAATTGTCTATTTTATATGAAAACTAATATAATCTCAATAGTTTCTCTTCTGGACAGTCATTACCATACATTATGAGATAGTTATTTTCTTTTCATGCACAGTAATTTATATACCAGATTATTTATCGTACTTCTGCCTTTATAGCTGACATTTCTGTTTAACCAATTACAAACACATGTTTCGTGTGATGTGAATATGAAATTCGGAAATACGAAAGTAACCTGTACATTATCACATTCACTTTTTGTTGGATGTAGTCCATTTGCAAGATTTGCCATATTGGAATCCTGCTCAGTAATCCTTGTTTGCTTATTGATAGGGTGAACTTGGGGCAAATGCAATTTTAGCAGTCTCAATGGCTGCTTGCAAAGCAGGGGCAGCTGAAAAGGAGGCACGATCACCAACTTATGTAGCAACTTTTCTCCAATTGACTCGTGTTGAGAACCTTAATAAAAGTTTATTTGCAGGTTCCACTGTACAAACACATAGCTGATCTTGCTGGAAAAACAAATTATAGTCTTCCTGTCCCAGCTTTCACTCTCATAAGTGGTGGAAAACATGCTGGGAACAATTTGGCAATTCAGGTAAAGCTCGTGTGTTAGTTCTCTTAAATATCTGTTTTTGCAATTATAATTTGCCTTGCCTCATCTTATAACAGAGCCCAATTGTTTAATTTTCCGTGAAGAGGGTATAAAAAACTCAATAGATGATATTGTATGTAGTATCCATAATATATCTGTGTAATAGACAACGTGCATTTTGTTGCTCATTCCGGAGGTGGAATACATGAACATAAAAATTACAATCTCATAATTTGTTCATAAATCTGTTCTTCTACACTTTTATAGCACTTGAGACTCCTGAACAACACAAAACTATTAGTTTGTGGGTTGCAACTCTGAAGTTTGGCATGTTACTGTTATTACTACAACTTTCATTGTAACGATGAACCAGATTGCATTTTTTTAGCTGTGTGACTGTGTCTTATGTTCTGTTTTTTAGAACAAATTGGACTGACATCCTATTCGCACTTTAATGCAGAAGACATGCTAGTACTTTATGTTTTCATGATTAAGGATTGAAAATGCCAATTTGAAACATGCTCTGCACTGTTCAAACTCTGAATTACACTGCATTTAAAAAATTCAAGCATGGATGTTAATCTAGTGAGGCTTACTTATTAGTTAGTGGAGACTAGAGTGGGGGGATTATAGGAACCAAATAAACTGTGAGCTTCTGATCGAACCCTGTAACAACACCCTTTCAACGGGTGAGCGTTACCATTTGAGCTACATGCTTGTGTTATTTGCGAGCTTGAATTGACTATTTCACTTTGATTTAAAGAGCATATGGATATGTTCAGGCAGAACTTGTGTTACTGTTGAGTGGATCTGTGAATCTTTATATGACAAAATTATCTCTACCTGCTCCCACTTATGCAAACAACATTATGGTTTATGGATTAATGTTTGATAAATGATCGACTCAGGGAGACCTAATATGACAGGCATCGACAATGAACTGTTTGGGTAGATGGTGAAAAATTCTTTACTAATTTTTTTTGCTAAAGTTGAATATATTCCCTTACTTGTCCATTCAGTGGTTTTACTCCTATATTAGAGCTGGTCTTTCATTCTAGCATGTTATTAAAGTTATGGGGAAGTACCCGATGATAACACACTTGAAGGTACGGAAAGTCACTGCCATTAGTAAATGGTAGCTAATCACAACGAAACCTGGATGGCATGAATGTATCCAAGTCTTGACTTACTTGGTTACCAACATGAAAATTAGACTCATTAAGAATGACTGTTTCCTAATGTTTGTGCTGTGTAATGTAAACCTAAACTTGGAAGTGAATTGCCCCTCGTTATTTGGCCTACCTTTGAATGGAAAAAGATGGGAAGATACTTGTATGCTTTTGAATTGAAAGAAAAAGTGGTTGCTAATTGAACCTGGTAAAGTTTATTTTCACATGCTACTGCTACATGAAGATTTTCCTAGATTGACAGAACATAAGAATGGTGTTAACATTGTAAACTAATATAGGGAGCAACGATAAAACAAATCAAGCATAAAGAGGGACATATGCCAGGGATTGAGGATGTGGAACTAACTTACTACATCTTTTCTTGGGTTTTTCGCCCTGTAAGCTTTCTGTAGGAGATATGTTAAATATTCAACTTCGTTATATTTGGTATGAAACCGAATTGTCAGCAATCGCCAAACACTGGCTAGTACATTGCTGAGGGAAGGGCCTGTCATCCATAGAAGATAGATAGATTAGTTCTGCCATTTCTGATCACCAAAATAATTACCTTAAACAATATCAACACCAAGTGGTGCAAGAACTTTGGTTATGCTTGTGATGAAAATGTATCTATCTACCTATTATATAATTTGACAACTCAGTCCAAATATAGTAAGTCTCTTTGTGGGTCCTATATAGGACTTTCCATTTTGGAAAGTAATGTTCATGACAAGTGTTGCTTTTTT